CGAAGAACTGGAGAAAAGATTTGAACAACTCAAAGGACAAGATGACTTCCTTACAACCAAAATAAATTCGATCAAATCTTCGACAAAGGAAGTGACACTTTCTCTGGAACAAAGCATGAAACGCAAAAGAAAAGTGCTTATCGAAGAAAATTCGAACCTCTCCTCTTGGACTCAATTATTGACAGATTTTGATCAGCTCAGATCTCAATATCAAGTTTTGTAAAACATTATACTTTAATCAATTATGAATTCTTATTTCCCTTATTCGAGGTTTATAATATTTTAAGTACTTCCCGTTTATCGATAGTACTTTTTCACGTATTATGAATCCTAAAAATTCACCAGCAAACACACCAAAGGCACATTTCAAGGGATTCATTTTTAAATCGTATTTCCTCATTCTTTCAAAAGATTTTCTTAAATTACCTAAATGTTCATGTTTTTTTCTTCGATGCAACAACAATATCATCTATATAAACCTGCATAAAATCATTAATCAAATCATGAAAAATTAAATTCATTGTTCTTTGATATATTGCCTGAGCGTTTTTCAATCTAAATGGCATCACTATCCATTCATAAGTACTTAATGCTCCCGGGCATCGAAAAACTGTTTTAGCTATATCATTTTGGGCAACAAAAATTTGATTATAACCTGAATATCCGTCTAAGAGACTTAAAATTTCATTACCAGCTATCGCATCTATTAACATATCAGCTACTGGCATAGGATATTCGTCTTTAGGAGTTGCTAAATTTAAATCTCGATAATCAATGCATACTCTCATTTTACCATTCTTTTTAATAACTGGAACAATATTGGAAATTCAATCCACATACCTGACAGGTTCGATAAATTTCGCGCTAAGAAGTCTCTCGATTTCTTCTTTAATCTTACCCATCACCTCGAGTGCAAATCTTCTCGGAGCTTGTTTCATCGGCTTCTTGCCTTCTATGATAGGTAATCTATGCTCGACTAGACTTCGATCCAATCCAGACATTTCTTCATAATCCCAAGCAAAGCAGTCTTTATATTCTTCCAGTAATAGAATTATATCTTTTTTCATTTATTTCTCGAGATACCTACTAATATAAGTAGGTTTTCTTTTCTCTGTCCTTCTCAAGTTGATTTCTTCAAATGGATCTTGGGCCTCGACCTTTTTGTGATTCGATGTGACAGATCTTTCAAAACCTAAAGGAGAATTATCGTAAATGCAATCAAATATATTCTACTAAGATAATAAACAACACATTCTACACCATTCTACACTAAGATAATAAAAAGCACATTCAAAACCTAAATCGAAAGAAGAAATTTGATGATTATTACTGAGAAAAATCGAGAATCTGAATCGAAAGAAGAACGAGAGGAAATTCGATGAACATGATTGGGGAAGTAAAAAATCGATTATAAGTATTAAGTGCGAAGTTAAGTGATTGCATTTACTTAAATATATTTTATTTATAATAGCTTAACAAATATATATATATATATATTTAAATAATTTTAAAATAAAATACTCATTTATGTAAAAAAAAGTAAAAAAAATATATATATACTTAAATATATATATATATATATATATATATATATATATAATAGCTTAACAAATATATATATATATATATATATATATATATAAATTAATAAAAAATGATAAGAATCTTATCTCTTCATATTAAGAGATAAGTTTTAATTAATGATAGAAAATAAAAAAAAATCAAAGAAAAGATAATTATCCAAAACATTAAATGAAAGAAAGAAAAAAATGCCACATTAGAAATTAGAAATATAACATCTCAAAATTAATTAATTAATTTTTTTTCAAATATAATATATTAAATAATATTTTAGATCATTTAAATAATTTTAAAATAAAAGACTCATTTATGTAAAAAGAAATAAATAAATAATTTATGGCTATAAATAAGAGGGGGAGGGGTTACATAGGAAGATAAAAAATTTAAGGAGGAAAGAATAAAGAGAAAGGAAGAGAGAGAGAGAAATAGAAATGGAAAGAGAGAGAGAGAGGGAGAGGGAGAGAAAAGGAGAAAGAAAAAGAAAATATATAAAGTAAAATTTTGGTACATCGTTTCCAATTATTAAGATAAGAGAGAAGATCATTATCATCTTATCTATTTTATTTTAATTATAGTTATAAAGTGAGATGTCTCTAATTTGATTGTATTTATTATGTTACTTATTCATTTATCTACAACTACATACCGATATGTAGTTTATTTATTTATCTCTAGTCATACACTAGTCTTATATTTTTATTATTTCTAGGTATGCATAGTCCTGTTTATGTTTATTGATCTTCAATTTTATACTGATCCTATTTTAATTTACTCCGATACCATCTAATGTGATATTTTTTTCCCTTCATTTAATGTTTGGATATCTCTTTGATTTTTTTATTATTTCCTATCATTAATTAAAACTTATGCCTTAATATGAAGAGATAAGATTTTTATCTTCATCCATTTTTTATTAATTTATATATATATATATATATATTAAAATTTTAAATAATATATTTTTTAATAATAATTTAAACTATGATTATTATTTTAATAAATATATATATTTTGTATAATAGCTTAATAATATATATATATAAATGAGTTTTTTATTTTAAAATTATTTAAATTATCTAAAATAATATTTAATATATTGTATTTGAAAAAAAAATTACATAATCAATTTTGAGATGTTACAATTTGTAGAAGTTTTTTTATAATATATTTTATAAAATAAAAATTTTAATTTGTGTATGAATTAGTTTTAATTTATGTAATTTAAAAAAAATTAACTTCAAGAAATTTATCCGTACATTTGAATGTATTTTCAAATACTATAATTAAATCTTCTGCTGGATATGTGATATATCTTTCTAACTAAGCACACACGCACACAAAAAAAGTTGAAGTGTTGTGTTTTTATTTGTCAATTAGAAAAATTATATTTTCCAAATTGATAAAATTATATAAATAAGTTTTTATTTTCGTTTTTTTTTCTCTATAAAAGTTGGAAGGGGCACAAAAGAAAAATGACTCTTACAAGTTTTTTTCTTCTAACTCTGTTTTTTTTAATCATGTGGTCACATACTTCACATTTGAAGCTTGAATATAGCACCAAACATAGTCCAGTTTCTTCTTACACCCTTTTTTAAAGGATGTTATAAGAAAAAGTACACAAAAAGAAGAAAAGTATTTGAAATTAAAAAAGAGGGACAATTATATTTTACATTAAAACTAAAAAATTTGAAAATTATTGTGAAATAACTTTTAGTTTAAAGAATCTTTAGTTAAAAATAAAAATAAAAATGACAAATAGTTTCTACTATTTTTAAGCTCTTAAAGGTAACTTTAACTTTAAAGTAACTTTAGAGAGTAAAATAAGTTGAGGCAAAAATATCCTTAATCAATTTGTCTTTCAAGAAAACTAATGGCAACATATATTTTAAGGATGGATCTATGTTCTGGCCCCTAAAACATAACTAGAGGCAAACACATTCTTGTTAAATTATTAAGTACTACTAAATAATATATGATATTAAATATAATATAAAACTTGTATTATGTAATAGGTATCGATGTTCTTATCCACATTTTTTTTATATTATTATTTTTTAAAATAATTACTTTTAAAAATTATTTTTTGTTTATTTTTTATTAAATGTGCAATACACCGTCTCTTTCCTTTCTCTTCCCTCCTTATAATATATTATTTTAAAATAATTGTCTTTATTTAGCAAAGGATAATATAATTTTATAGATGGTAAAAAAAAATAATTATAAAAAATATTTTTATATATATAACAGTGTAGATATGGCTTACATGATTTTAATTCATAATAGAATATGTATATGTGCGAGTGAAAAAAATGATTTTAACTCATAATAGAATATGTATATTGGGGAATAGTGAGACATTGATACTATTTCATAATATACATTTTAGAATAATTTTATTACTATTTTAGAATACATGTGGGTCAATTCGTGTTAGGTCCATTAAGTTTTGAGTCCGGTCGAATTTGGGTAATTTCATTGGGCCAAAAATTTGTGAATACAGTTCAGATTTTTTATCAGGATAATAATAATATATTTAAAAAAATGTTTCTCTCACATTGTTTTATTTTCTTTTAACTAAATTAACTCTTAAATTTATTTCTTCCTCCTCATAAAAATGAGAATAGTCGTGTTAATTTCATAGAAGAGAATAAATCATGTTACTTGGTATATATATAATGGGAAGTTAGAATAATTTAAGATAATTATAAAAAAATTGATTAAAAAGATTAAGTTTTAGATTATTATTCAATGATATTTAAATTAGTAAACAAAAATATCAATTTATTACCTTTATATTGATTTTTATAATATATTAACCCCATCAATTTATTTATATTTTTAAATAATAAACATATCGACTGAGAAAAGGTAAAAGTTCGATAGAATATGTTTTAAAAACAAACAAATATCATTTGAACAAATTAAATTAAAATAGAATTATATAGTATAAACAAATTACCCTCGGTTCTTATAAAGTGGAGTTACAAAGTTTTAAATTTTTACATTTTATTGTTTTATTTTATAATATTTATTTTAACCATTATTCTATTTTTACAATATTAAAATTTTAATATTCTCTCATATTTGCACCTTAATCAATTGTTTCTGAATCCTACAAGCAGGCATGCAGGGTAGTAGAGGTGTAGAGAAAAGCGGTGATCCACGAATCTCAGAAATTCTAGTGATTGTCAACAATTTTAATGACTTGTTATATTTCTGACCTTGTATGTTGTCTTTGTTTTGGTGCTTGATCTTGTTCTTAATGGTTTTGAATCAGTAAACTTCCGTAAGTAGGGGACCAATTTGTTTTTTGTGGTACTATTTTGTTACCATATGTTTATATCTAGTTAAAAGTTCAGAGACCCATCAAAGCGTGTAGTTTCTTTTGTGACTGACATTAGCTACTTCTCTTCTCTTCCATGGAGAACTTTCTGGGTCTTATCAAACTTCGTATCAAAAGAGGCACGAATCTCGTTGCTTGCGACACTCGTACCAGTGACCCCTATGTTTTTGTCACCATGGCTGAGCAGGTATCGATTACATTTTTTTTTTCTGCACTTTCAACAATTGTTGGGTTTGTAAGTGTTCATTGAACAAACATTGTTCCTTGTGTATTCAGATGCCTTATTTATTTATTCGTTTGTTTTCTATAATTTTTAACTTGTTTTAGTTTCTATTTATTAGACCTTCATTTACTCTGTTAATCTCAACTTTGTTATTGATTGTTTATTCTTTTTCTTAAGTATCTTTTCTAGGTTTTCCATACAAATTGTGTCCATTTTTTGTAGCAGAAAATGCACATTGTATTATTATATTACAATTGAACAGTCATACTAGGAACTCACTCACCTAGTTAGAGCATATGGTGATATATTTTTTGTTACTTGTCCAAAGCTTGGGAGAATTTTGCAAACAGAAATGAATTCAAGTGGGAAAGGTATTTTGGCTGAGACAGCTACACCCTGAAGAAACGGAACAAAAGATGCTTAATCTTATGCTCTACAAACGACTGTAATTTGAGTTTTGATTCTTTATATGTGGCTATTATTTGCAATAAGAAAACCGAGTAATCCGTGTAGAAAAAGAGCTTCAAAGTTCCGTCTAAGTAAATCATTTTGAAGTTAATGGAGTGATTGAAATAGAAATTGTTTGTTTAATGTTAACAACATCAAGTTGAATCTAAAATCTTGCCACTACTATCTGTTGCTCTTAATTTCTTAGTCTGAACCCTTCATCTCATATTGATGCAGCAACTGAAAACTAGTGTTGTGAAAGATACCTGCAATCCTGAGTGGAATGAAGAATTGACACTTTATGTAAAAGATGTTAACATTCCAATACTTCTGGTGAGTACTGAAACAATCTATATCATTCATCAGTATTAGTGTTGCGGGCTATCATGACAAAAGTAGTCTTGTGTTAAATTGATGATCACTTGGAAATGTGTTGTTTTCCTCAGACAGTTTCAGACAAAGACACTTTCACAGTTGATGACAACATGGGCGATGCAGAAATTGACTTAAAGCCATATCTTCAGTGTGTGAAGATGGAGTTGAGGGATCTCCCAGAGGGCCATGTAGTCAAGAATATTCAACCAGATAGGACTAACTGCCTTGCTGAAGAGAGTAGCTGCATATGGAAAAATGATAAACTCATCCAAGAGATGACTTTGAGATTGAGAAATGTCAAGTCTGGGGAAATAACTGTGGAAATTGGGTGGGTTACTCTTCCAGATTCAGAAGGCTTATCACAAGTTGAGTTTTAGGTGTGCCTACCTGCCTTAACTTTATGCTGTATTACATGTGTTATTATGTAACTTACGGAGTAAAATCTATAATTTAGTGAGTTGCACAAACATCTAATCAAATCTATATATGATGATGAGTTGATGAAATTATCTGTACTAGTAATTAAGTATTTTAGCATTTTTTTTCTCAAGAATTTGGGCATCTGATATTTGCCATCAGCCTGATCCAAATTAAGGAGTCAGGTTTTAAGTGAATTTTGCAAAGCATTTTGTACCCTGAAAGAAAGGACAAATTGGTCCTATTCTGTTCAAGCCGTAAGCAGATACCTTTATCATAAATCTCATAAATCTAGTGCTAGATTTCTTATAAGAAACATAGGTGAAGGTAAAGGGAAGCATCCATAGGTAATTCTAGAATTGAGGATAGATACAAGTAGAGTTAACAAGTGTTCAGTACAAAATGATGCAAAGAAACTATAATACTTTTGCATTGTTTGTAACCCACCCGTAAACATCTGGCGTGGTTACTTGTAAAGTTCTATTATTAAGTCATCGTGATTTCATTGAACATTGATGTGGAAATAGTGATGATATTATGTTCTGGAAGTGTAAGATGCCTAAAATGTTACCAAAATTAAAGGTAAAGGAAGTGTGCCTTAAGAACTCTTTCATTCCAACTTCAAGAACTCTATAAGAATTCTTCCACATATATAACACCTTAAAACTTCAATGGGCATCGATATTTATGGAAGGAGCTTTCTTCATAATCTGGTTACTCCAATCGAAGTTGGGTTCTTGAATGCTTAAGAACCCTATAAGAATCAAGGATGCAGATGGTCTAAGTGCACATGATTTAAATTTATTATAAAAAATATTCTCAAAATATGTTTGAGTAGTTGTTGGTTCAAGAATTCTGTATTTTTGAAAGTATAATTTGATTCAAGTCGGAAACATTCATGGGAAATTAGGTCTTATAATAGAGATTATTTTCTTACAAAATATTCAAAATGAAAACCTTTCTCAAGGATAATCAAACATCTATTAAATATATTTTCTTTGTTCTTAGAATAAATTAAAACTTGTTTTTTTATTTTAGAAAATCATACGATACATTCGTGTTATTTGACTCTATTCTAGCTAAAACATGTAAATATTTTAACTAGTTTTGAGTGAAAAACTTACCTCAAACATAACCATAAAGGTTCATTTTTCTTAAATTAATTTATCTCAAGTCCAATTTTGATGGGCTTGGACCTTTCCCCTAATGGCTCACTCATTAAATTAATTGTCTCAGGTCCGGCCACACTGTTTAGACTAGTATCGAAGACCATGATTGGTCGTTACTTAGCCCATCAGCCTCTAGGCGAAGATGTTAAGCCTTAAATCCAAAGTCTATAATTGGTACAAGGTCGAGTCCAGTGACTTGGGCACTACTTAGCCTCTCAACATTAAGTCAAGAGTGTTGAGGCTTAGATTCTAAACCTTGAATTGGGAAGAGACTGTTGCCAATAAAATATACTCGTGTAAATTATGTCTAACATGTTTATAATGAGTTATTGATCGAGAACTTTAACAAATTTTGCATTTTATCACATTACTTGTTTTATTGCGTTTCTCGACTTTACCCCGATCATTATCGTGTAGTAATTAGTTATAACTTAAATTTTCAACCCGATCCTTTTACTTGTTTACTTTTATAGTCATGCACTTTGTATTTTAAATGCTCTATAACTAGTTATTAATTAGAAACTTTGATAATCTTGCGCTTTTGTCATATATCGCATTAGTTGGTTTTATCCTGATTATTACTATATATTAATTACTTGGTTATGGATTATGGATCATGAATGAGTGTAAAGATCATGAGATGGATCGTGAGGATCACAAATAAGTCATAAAGACCACAAGATGGATCATAGAGGATCATGAGTGAGTCATAAAGATCACACGAGTTGGATCACAAATGATCATGAATGGGTCATAAAGATCACGAGTGAGTCATAAAGACCACGAGCTTGAAGTACAGAGGATCATAAGTGGGTCATAAAGACTGCGAGCTTGGACCATAGAAATCACGAGTAGGTCATTAAGACTATGAACTTGGACTATAGAAAATCACACATATACAAGTCGATTGTCTCAGTATTTTGTCGATCTATTTCAAAATTGAGGAATTATGTGAAATCATTATTTCTATGTAGCTCTTTAGAAGAAGAACCCTATATAAAAAATTAAAATAAAGTGAAAATATAATAATAAATAAACAAATATATATATATATATATATATATATATATATATATATTCTCTAATATGAATAAATATAATTGTATGATAATTCACCATGAATAAATATAATAAATTTCATTATTTTTAGAATATTTTTAATTCAAATAAAACACTCTTGTGAAACAAAAATAACTTGGAACAACTTCTATGAGTATATATATATATATATATATATATATATATATATATATATTATATATATATATATATATATATATATTGAACTATTGTAAGTAATTTGTAGGGTGAATGGTTACAAGTATGAAGAACTTATGAATGAAACAAAGAAACGAAGGTTTAAATACAATAATAGGAATAGACGAATAACATGAACTAACAGTCACAACCAATTTGTCCAATCGGATAAAAAATCCTGATTTAGGGCAAGAAAGAATTTCAGTATATCAAGATAGAGAATATTCAAAGTGAAGGTATACCACTCGCGTAATGACCTTAGAGCACATAGTCCTTCAAAAATACATTATCTCTCTCACGCCTCATGTTTTTCCATTGACATTTTCCTTGCAGATCGTATGTTGTGTGGCCTTGTGATAGAATTAACTTTTCCCCCACATCTAGCTCAACATTTTTTTTTGCCCTTTATTTTCTATGCACGTTACAATACTCCCTCCATTGAAAACACCCTTGTCCTCAAGGTTGAATTCTGGAAAAGACTCTTGTATCTCATCTACATCCTCCCAAGTGGCAGTAACGACATCCAATGAATCCCATTGAATTAATACTTGAGAAACTGGATCGAAATGTCTCATAATAATTCTGGATTCCAAAACTTGTAATGGATGAACATAAGGACCACATTTAGTAGTAATATGGGACAAGGGTAAATAAGTTTGTGAAAGATGACCCTTAAATGTCTTAAGCAAAGACACATGTAACACATGGTGAATTCTTGCAGTAGCAGGAAGCTTCAACTTATAAGAAACTTCTCTAATTCTTGCAAAGACTTCAAATGGACCAAAAAAATGCATACTTAACTTCTGATTTGTCCTTGAGGCAACAAAATGTTGTTTATAAGGTTGTAACTTTGCTAAAACCAAATCACCTACATCAAACTTTATATCTCATTGTCTTTTATTAGTTTGTTGTTTCATGTATTGTTGAGCCTTAAACAAGTTCAATTTCAATTGTTGAAGTATTGCATCACGAGCTTGGAACATATATTAAACAGAAATTGGATCAGTGGAAGCAGTTTCATACCTTATAACAGTAGAAGGATCTTTACCGTATAAAGCCTTGAAAGGGGACATTCCAATACTCTGATGCAAAGAAGAATTGTACCAAAATTAAGCCCATGGAAGCATAGAATACCATTATTTTGGATTGTAAAAAACGAAACATCGAAGATACATTTCTAAAGTTTTATTCAAAACCTTGGTTTGTCCATCTAATTGGGGATGGTATGAAGAACTCATAGCAAGTGTGGTACCTTGAACTTTGAAAAGATGTTGCCAAAATGAGCTAATGAAAACTCTATCCTTGTCTGATACAATGGAACTAGGTACACCATACAATTTGACTATGTTGTTAACAAAACCTTTAGCAACAATCTTACTTGTATATTCAGCCTTGAGTGGTATAAAATGACCAAACTTGGAGAGTCGGTCCACTACTACCATAATTGTTGAGTACCCATGTGACAAGGGCAAGTCAGTGATGAAATTGACTGCTATATCATCCCAAACATGTAATGGGATTGGCAAGGGTTGTAGTAACCCATTGGTAAAGCTTGTTGGCAAATTTGGCATTCACGAACAAATGTTCTAATCCTCTGTTGCATTTCCGACCAAAAGAATTGAGAACAAATTCTAACCATGGTTTTTGAAACTCCAACGTGACCTCCTACTTCCAAAGAATGAAATTCCAACAACACCTGATTAATAATGTCCTCATCCAATGACAACAAGATACGACCCTCCCAAAACAATAACCCATCCTTAATCATATACTCTTGGGACTATAATTGATCTACTACACATTGATCATATAGGTCCTTCAACCTAACATCTTTTTGAGTTAGTCCAACCACCCTTTTATACCATTGACTTGTTGATATTGACCATGCCATCATCACACTCCTTGATAACGCATCATCTGGGATGTTATCTTTTCTTGGTTTATATTGAATTGAAAAATCAAAGCCCACGAACTATGGTAACCATTGTTGTTGCTCTGGTGTTTGTAAATGTTGCTCTACTAATTCCTTTAAGCTCTTCTGATCCATTTTAATAATAAACTTGTGGCCTAAGAGATAGTGTCTAAACTTTGTCAATGCTTCAGTAATCACATAAAGCTCATGTACTCACGTGTATATGCAGACTATTTTTGCATTCTTAATGACAAATTCTTATAGAAATAAGTTATGGGATGAGTACCTTGACTTAAGACTGCTCTTACACCCAAACCAAAAGCATCTGTTTCAAGAACAAAAGGTTCTGAAAATTTTAGTATTACCAAAACTAGTGTTGTAGTGAGTGCTTCCTTCAATTGTGTAAAGGTCATGGTCGTTGTTTCAATCCATTTAAAAGCATTTTTCTTCAGCAAATCAATTAGTGGAGCTGCTATTTGGGCATACGCTTTAACAAATTGTCGGTAATACCAAACAAAATCAGTAAAACCAAGAAAACCATGCAACAATTTCAAATTAATTGATCTCGACCACATTTTGACAGCCTCAATTTTGTTACAATCCATAGTAACCTTGGATCCTG